CTGAACCTGCGTGCTCAGCTCGGCTGTCCCAGGGCTGCAAGGTCAGTACTCAGACAGGTGGGCAAGGGATTAAGCACGCCCCCAACCCAACGCCCCTTGGGGAGGCTGCCTGGGGGGAAGACATATGTTGTCCTTTAGAACCTTGAAAGACCCCAGCCCCAAACTGCCTCTGATTCGGGAGGAACTGGTGGCACTTCCTACCTCTGTGCCATGTATCTGGAAAATGGGGTAGTGAGTAACCTATGTGGTGTTACGGCAACAGAACGACCTACCAATGAATTCCTCTGTTCTACCGCCAATACAGGAGCTTCAGCCATGGCCACGTCCACCTCTAATGTGCTTCTGCACGCTTCTCTCAGCAACTCCCCACACTCTCAAGGCCCAGCAAGGCGGCCACTGAGTACCTCCGAAACTTCTCCCACTCCAGATAGTAGGGAACACATACCTATGACTATCACCACCTCCCCCCACTTGAAATCCATTTCTGAAACATTGCTCAAATTGCCAGTCAATTCCAACACCTCAACAATCCCCATGTCCAAGTTTGTCTTCAAGGTTGAGACCACTCCACCCACCGTGATTGTCTATATGGGCATGACAGAGTGCATCAATCCAACGAAACTTGTAATCACTACCACTTACCCCACCACCACCTGCATGACACAGACCCAAGTGTCCCTCACCAGCTCTTACACCACCACTCCTGTGACAGGGAAGCCATGGACAACCATTACCAGTACTTATCCCGTGACAACTACCAAGAGAGTCACCTCAGCCGTGACCAATTCTCCCAGTACCACCACTCCGGGGAAATCTCCCACAACCATGACCCCAACCCCTTCCTTGGTCCCAACAACCCACACAACTCTAGACACTCAGATCTCCTCTGTGGCTGGTACCACACAAAGGGCTATCCCTACCGCTGCAAGTACCCACGCAACCCGGTCTCCGACCCCAACAATCGTGTCTACCTCTGCTACTACCCCTTCTCTAACTACTAGGAAAACCTTGTTAACAACACTCAGCACCCGTAGCACCTTGATTACAACCATCACTTCATTTCCAGACATGGTCAGTACCTTTCAGACATCCACAGCTATCACTCAAGCACCTGCTTCAGATGATATATTAACAACACCTACAACACAAGTTGTATCTGTTGCCAAAGAAGCATCCACTGAACTAGGTACATGGAAAACAAATCCTCTGAACACCATGAGCTCCACGAAAGTGACACGTATTCCAGTGACTGACATTCCCAAAGAAACTCTCACCACCTCAATTACTTCAATTTCTCCAACCATGTCTTCATTCACTCCTACAAACGCAGTCACTCCTGCCACATTTACCACATCTAAATCCAGCCCTGTGCCCACCAGCACTGATACATACACGGTATCTACTACCAAGGGACCACTGTCCACCACTGTAGCCACTATAGAAATAGGAGAGACAAGGAACAAAACCCCTCATGCTTCATCAACCAAGAAAACCACATTTATTACAACCAGTGATGTTGGTACAGAGTCTCAAACAACAGAGATTACTTGTGCTCCCCCAATCACAAATTCAGACACTCCCACAGATACACTCAATTATTCGACATCCACTATTTGTACTTCTGTGACCACCAGCACCTTGACAACACCCACCAGTAAGTCTCAGTCTTTTCCATCTGCCCAGAGCACAGAAGCGGTCCTGACTACAACAACAAACATCACCTCACACTCCCCTTTGAACACCACAATCCCTACTACCAAGGCTACAACTACCCCTCCATTTCCAGCTACTACTGTGACCACGACCAAAACAGGAATAACGACTCTAACCAACACTTCAATACCTGCCTCCTCGAAAACAGTATTACCCATCACCTCAACAACAAAAATAACCAAGACTGGTACCACAAATATAGTAACAACACCCACATCAATAACACGACAAAGTACACCTGACATCACGTCTTCAACCAATTTCTCTACAGGAAGAACAATGACACCAGCCAACACTAAGTCAACATCCTCGAGTACCACTGGTCCGTTGCCCCCCACCACCGACCTCAGCTCCACACTCGCTCTTCCCAGCACCTCACCCACCCCCACAAATATCATCCCATCTTCCCCTCCACCTGCCCCAGCCACAGAGCCAGTCTCCACTTCGACCACAAACACTAGCCCTACGTCCACCCTGATTACCTCCATCCCCGCTACACACCCAACTTCCGGCCCTTCAACTCCCACTACTCCTCCCACCAGGTCCACAACAGAAGTCACCACTCCCACGCACACTGAAGCTCCTGTCACCTCGACCACAGCCACCTTGCCCATTCTAGCCACGGAAACCACCCAGGGTGCTACCACACACCTGGTAACCACGACCATGCCAACAACACCCAAAAGCTCTCCAGTCATCAGCTCTTCATCCACCTCCACGACAGGGAGCACAATCACATCTGCATTCCCGTCATCCCTCCCTGCCTCTGCTACGGTGCAGACAACCACAACTATACCTCCATCCTCCGTGAGTACTGCAGCCCCTACCGAGACTCCAGCCACCACCGCGTCCACATCCTCGAGTACCACTGGTCCGTTGACCCCCACCACCGACCTCAGCTCCACACTCGCTCTTCCCAGCACCTCACCCACCCCCACAAATATCATCCCATCTTCCCCTCCACCTGCCCCAGCCACAGAGCCAGTCCCCACTTCGACCACAAACACTAGCCCTACGCCCACCCTGATTACCTCCATCCCCTCTACACACCCAACTTCCGGCCCTTCAACTCCCACTACTCCTCCCACCAGGTCCACAACAGAAGTCACCACTCCCACGCACACTGAAGCTCCTGTCACCTCGACCACAGCCACCTTGCCCATTCTAGCCACGGAAACCACCCAGGGTGCTACCACACACCTGGTAACCACGACCATGCCAACAACACCCAAAAGCTCTCCAGTCATCAGCTCTTCATCCACCTCCACGACAGGGAGCACAATCACATCTGCATTCCCGTCATCCCTCCCTGCCTCTGCTACGGTGCAGACAACCACAACTATACCTCCATCCTCCGTGAGTACTGCAGCCCCTACCGAGACTCCAGCCACCACCGCGTCCACATCCTCGAGTACCACTGGTCCGTTGACCCCCACCACCGACCTCAGCTCCACACTCGCTCTTCCCAGCACCTCACCCACCCCCACAAATATCATCCCATCTTCCCCTCCACCTGCCCCAGCCACAGAGCCAGTCTCCACTTCGACCACAAACACTAGCCCTACGTCCACCCTGATTACCTCCATCCCCGCTACACACCCAACTTCCGGCCCTTCAACTCCCACTACTCCTCCCACCAGGTCCACAACAGAAGTCACCACTCCCACGCACACTGAAGCTCCTGTCACCTCGACCACAGCCACCTTGCCCATTCTAGCCACGGAAACCACCCAGGGTGCTACCACACACCTGGTAACCACGACCATGCCAACAACACCCAAAAGCTCTCCAGTCATCAGCTCTTCATCCACCTCCACGACAGGGAGCACAATCACATCTGCATTCCCGTCATCCCTCCCTGCCTCTGCTACGGTGCAGACAACCACAACTATACCTCCATCCTCCGTGAGTACTGCAGCCCCTACCGAGACTCCAGCCACCACCGCGTCCACATCCTCGAGTACCACTGGTCCGTTGACCCCCACCACCGACCTCAGCTCCACACTCGCTGTTCCCAGCACCTCACCCACCCCCACAAATATCATCCCATCTTCCCCCCCACCGGCCCCAGCCACAGAGCCAATCTCCACTTCGACCACAAACACTAGCCCTACGTCCACCCTGATTACCTCCATCCCCGCTACACACCCAACTTCCGGCCCTTCAACTCCCACTACTCCTCCCACCAGGTCCACAACAGAAGTCACCACTCCCACGCACACTGAAGCTCCTGTCACCTCGACCACAGCCACCTTGCCCATTCTAGCCACGGAAACCACCCAGGGTGCTACCACACACCTGGTAACCACGACCATGCCAACAACACCCAAAAGCTCTCCAGTCATCAGCTCTTCATCCACCTCCACGACAGGGAGCACAATCACATCTGCATTCCCGTCATCCCTCCCTGCCTCTGCTACGGTGCAGACAACCACAACTATACCTCCATCCTCCGTGAGTACTGCAGCCCCTACCGAGACTCCAGCCACCACCGCGTCCACATCCTCGAGTACCACTGGTCCGTTGACCCCCACCACCGACCTCAGCTCCACACTCGCTCTTCCCAGCACCTCACCCACCCCCACAAATATCATCCCATCTTCCCCTCCACCTGCCCCAGCCACAGAGCCAGTCCCCACTTCGACCACAAACACTAGCCCTACGCCCACCCTGATTACTTCCATCCCCGCTACACACCCAACTTCCGGCCCTTCAACTCCCACTACTCCTCCCACCAGGTCCACAACAGAAGTCACCACTCCCACGCACACTGAAGCTCCTGTCACCTCGACCACAGCCACCTTGCCCATTCTAGCCACGGAAACCACCCAGGGTGCTACCACACACCTGGTAACCACGACCATGCCAACAACACCCAAAAGCTCTCCAGTCATCAGCTCTTCATCCACCTCCACGACAGGGAGCACAATCACATCTGCATTCCCGTCATCCCTCCCTGCCTCTGCTACGGTGCAGACAACCACAACTATACCTCCATCCTCCGTGAGTACTGCAGCCCCTACCGAGACTCCAGCCACCACCGCGTCCACATCCTCGAGTACCACTGGTCCGTTGACCCCCACCACCGACCTCAGCTCCACACTCGCTCTTCCCAGCACCTCACCCACCCCCACAAATATCATCCCATCTTCCCCTCCACCTGCCCCAGCCACAGAGCCAGTCTCCACTTCGACCACAAACACTAGCCCTACGTCCACCCTGATTACCTCCATCCCCGCTACACACCCAACTTCCGGCCCTTCAACTCCCACTACTCCTCCCACCAGGTCCACAACAGAAGTCACCACTCCCACGCACACTGAAGCTCCTGTCACCTCGACCACAGCCACCTTGCCCATTCTAGCCACGGAAACCACCCAGGGTGCTACCACACACCTGGTAACCACGACCATGCCAACAACACCCAAAAGCTCTCCAGTCATCAGCTCTTCATCCACCTCCACGACAGGGAGCACAATCACATCTGCATTCCCGTCATCCCTCCCTGCCTCTGCTACGGTGCAGACAACCACAACTATACCTCCATCCTCCGTGAGTACTGCAGCCCCTACCGAGACTCCAGCCACCACCGCGTCCACATCCTCGAGTACCACTGGTCCGTTGACCCCCACCACCGACCTCAGCTCCACACTCGCTCTTCCCAGCACCTCACCCACCCCCACAAATATCATCCCATCTTCCCCTCCACCTGCCCCAGCCACAGAGCCAGTCTCCACTTCGACCACAAACACTAGCCCTACGCCCACCCTGATTACCTCCATCCCCGCTACACACCCAACTTCCGGCCCTTCAACTCCCACTACTCCTCCCACCAGGTCCACAACAGAAGTCACCACTCCCACGCACACTGAAGCTCCTGTCACCTCGACCACAGCCACCTTGCCCATTCTAGCCACGGAAACCACCCAGGGTGCTACCACACACCTGGTAACCACGACCATGCCAACAACACCCAAAAGCTCTCCAGTCATCAGCTCTTCATCCACCTCCACGACAGGGAGCACAATCACATCTGCATTCCCGTCATCCCTCCCTGCCTCTGCTACGGTGCAGACAACCACAACTATACCTCCATCCTCCGTGAGTACTGCAGCCCCTACCGAGACTCCAGCCACCACCGCGTCCACATCCTCGAGTACCACTGGTCCGTTGACCCCCACCACCGACCTCAGCTCCACACTCGCTCTTCCCAGCACCTCACCCACCCCCACAAATATCATCCCATCTTCCCCTCCACCTGCCCCAGCCACAGAGCCAGTCTCCACTTCGACCACAAACACTAGCCCTACGTCCACCCTGATTACCTCCATCCCCGCTACACACCCAACTTCCGGCCCTTCAACTCCCACTACTCCTCCCACCAGGTCCACAACAGAAGTCACCACTCCCACGCACACTGAAGCTCCTGTCACCTCGACCACAGCCACCTTGCCCATTCTAGCCACGGAAACCACCCAGGGTGCTACCACACACCTGGTAACCACGACCATGCCAACAACACCCAAAAGCTCTCCAGTCATCAGCTCTTCATCCACCTCCACGACAGGGAGCACAATCACATCTGCATTCCCGTCATCCCTCCCTGCCTCTGCTACGGTGCAGACAACCACAACTATACCTCCATCCTCCGTGAGTACTGCAGCCCCTACCGAGACTCCAGCCACCACCGCGTCCACATCCTCGAGTACCACTGGTCCGTTGACCCCCACCACCGACCTCAGCTCCACACTCGCTCTTCCCAGCACCTCACCCACCCCCACAAATATCATCCCATCTTCCCCTCCACCTGCCCCAGCCACAGAGCCAGTCTCCACTTCGACCACAAACACTAGCCCTACGTCCACCCTGATTACCTCCATCCCCGCTACACACCCAACTTCCGGCCCTTCAACTCCCACTACTCCTCCCACCAGGTCCACAACAGAAGTCACCACTCCCACGCACACTGAAGCTCCTGTCACCTCGACCACAGCCACTTTGCCCACTCCAGCCTCAACCACAGAAGTAGCCAAGTCTGGGACCACAAGCGTGGTAACAGCACCCACCTCGATAACAGCTCTCAGTACTTCAAGTGTTTCTCCTTCATCACCTTTCCCTGGATTGATTACTTCTACTAGTGCTATAAGTACCCCTTTTAGTACCATCATCTCATCTTCAATACCTGAAATAACAATATCATCTCTATCTTCCATCAGCACAAGTTCACTGGTCTCTACGACAAGTAAGTCTTTTCCTACCTCCTCTCATGTCTACAGTACAGACATCACAGTGTCTTCTTCTGTCACTGCTTTTCCTACTTTTTCGTCAACTGAAACTGCGAGAACTTCTCTCACCATTTCTCCCCAAAAGGGTCCTACCCAAACCACCACCATGTTGACTCTTTCTTCCACTACCCAATGTCCAGAATCAATATCGGTTACAATAGTGTCTGCCTCTCCCACTACACCGTGTATCGAAGTGGGTCCAAATCCTGAAGTTACTTCTCCGCCCACCATCCCATTATCCGTTTTTACCTCTACTACTGAGAGGGCCACCTGTCCCAGTTCCACCACCATGACAACTGTGTTCCCTGCAAAAACGGACACTTCTACTTCTGTTTTCAAAACTGACCCCAATAATATGACTGATGCACCTAGTTCTATCAGCACTGGAACCATCCCCATTAACACGGATTTCACGAGCACACAAAGACCCACCAGTGGCACCTGGAACGGCACCAACTTTGTAACCACCCCACGTGTGCCCGGCTTCACTAGCCTCCCAGTGACCATGAAACCAAGTAGCAGCTTTTCAACTGCCATGATGACTTCAAGCAAGCTCACGCGCCCCACCTCACCCATCACCAGCACTCCAGGGACACCAGCGGCTACCACCAAGACTCTCTCCACCCTTACATCACCCAGGACGACTTCGACCACGACTCAGATGACCACACAGTCTAGGTTGACCACCACCCCAGGTTGGATCTCCTGCCTCCATGTGGCCTCTTCTCCCTCTCCTGCTATATTCCCATGACCAAGGTCAATTCTGTCCTGAACTTCCTGTTTTCCTGTGCTACCCAGGCACTTGTGACAATGGTGGCACCTGGATGCAGAGCCACTGCTCCTGCCCCAGCACTTTCTCTGGCTCCCGCTGTGAGTTTGCTGTGGAACACATAGATCTGGGTGAGTTGCTCTCTGCACTTTCTCTTGGGAGGTGCCACTGACTCTAATGGGCCCAATCATTTTGCTGAATCCCTTCATCCTTGCTTTCTGCCTCATGCTCTCCCCTACCCCATACCATGCCTAATCTCCACTCTCACCTCCAGGAGGTCGCTGGGGCCACTTTCTTTCTCCTCCCAGTCTGGGCTGCTTCGAGTTGTATTAGGTTCTAATTTCTGCTGTAACAAATTACCACAAACTTAGCAGATGAACATTGCAAATTTATTATTGTACAATTCTGTACATTAGAAGTCTGACATGAGTCTCGCAGGGCTAAAATCAAGGTGTTGGCAGGGCTGGGTTCTTTCTGGAGGCCCTAGGAGAGAATCCATCTCTTTGCCCTTTCCAGGTTCGCGAGTGGCCCACATTCTTTGTCTCAAGGCCCCCTCGCTCCATCTTCAATGACAACAACTTTGCATCTCTGTGCCTTTTTTCCATACTCACATCTTCCTCTGACTGATTCCGACTTCTGCCTCCCTCTTCCACTGCTAAAGACCCTTGTGATAATACTCGGACCACCCAGATAGTCCACATTAATTTTCCCATAATACGGTCAGCTGGTTAGTACCCTTAAATCCATCTACCACTTTGATTCCTCCATGCCATATAGCATAAGATATTCCCAGGTTCTGGGAATTAGACATAGGCATCTTTGGGGGCCATTATTCTGCTTCCCATTGGGGCAGACGTGGGAGAGACTACAGGCCTGACTGCTGGGCATCCTGACTTTCAGTGTTTCTCACATCTCAGGACAACTCATTCCAGAATTCCTTCCTTTCTCCCTCCTGCTGTTCAGTCAGTTCTCAGGGAACATGGAGAGGGGCCACGGGAGTAGCCTCTGGGTCAGGGTGGTGGTGGTGATGGCAGACAGGAGTGGATGGTGGAGTGACCAGAGCAGGGAATGTTGTGTGCAGACAAAGTGGACACTGAAGTGGGCATGGAGGTTTCTGTCAACAAGGAGTTCTCCCCGGACCTCAATGACAACACTTCTAAGGCCTATAAGGATTTCACGGACACCTTCCGGGATCAGGTGAGGGGGAAGGGGAGGGAACTCAAAGGTCTGCCCCTGGAGTTGAGCTTGGCTCCCTGGGTACCCTCTGGTCTGGATGTTCAGATGTGAGCCCAGGATCCTTGGCATTTCAGATGAAGAAGGTTTACCAAAATGTGAAGGGGTTCAAGGACGTGGTGATCCTTTCTCTGAGGTAGGAGGACCCTTCTGGCACTGTGGAGACAGCGTCAGGTGGCGGGGGGGATGAACTAAGAAGTGCTGGAGAAGACAGCCCTTGCTTTTGGAATCGTCAGATGTCATAAAAAGAGGGATGGAGTGAGGATGCAAACGAAGCACTCTGTAGAGGGTATTTTGCAGTCATTTTCTAGAGTTGTTTCTCTGTAGGAGGGATGTCACCCCTATTCTCAAAGCATGTTGGGAGGTGAATGATTCAGTGGGACAAACAGGGAGGTGGTGCATGAGGGATGGTGCCTGGTATCTGGTCTATAGCTGGTCTCTCTCTAGTTGGCACCTGGTCTGCTGGATGGGTCAGCAAGAGGGAGGCAGAGAGCCCAGGAGGGCCTGGTTTGATTATGGCTTGAGGTAATGCCAAGAGAATGTCAATCATTCCTTGTCCCACCTACTCAGGCTGATAAAGGCAGAGATGCTGGACATAATGTGTCTGGAATCCCAGCTCAATGCCCACTTCCTGCCAAGACCCGTATAGTTGTGGTTGGTCTGGAAGTGCCCTACGATGGCCTGGGCCTGGGCACCTTTTAAGGCTCCCTGCCCCCTTGCCCCCCTCAGGAGTGGCAGCATTGTTGTGGACTACCTGGTCCAGCTGGAGTTACCCTTCAGCCTCCAGCTGGAGAGCGAGTATGAGAAAGTGAAAGTGGCCCTGAAGGAGGAGCTCCAGAATGTCAGCCAGGATAACAGCTGCGAGAAGGACCAGGGTGAACAGAAGCTGGGGGCCTTGGGCTGGAGGGAGGGGTCAGGGTCACAGCCACCATCCCAGCCTGCTCCAGCTCAGACAGGGTCCTCTGAGGTCAGGTGCCAGCCCTGTGGTACCTCTGGCAGGTTGGGAGAAGAGACACAGGTCCCCAGCCAACGGGGTCAAGGATGGGGCTAAGGAGGGGCTCACCAAAACCTGGGTGCTATGGAAGAGACAGTTCTGCTCAAGGTTTCCAGGGTGGCTGAGGACCCCTGACTATTCAGGGGACATGAGGGAGTCCAAAGGGGTCTTCCCTTGTTGCCCATTCACACCTCCTCCATACTGACAGAGCCCTCTCTGCCCCTCCCTGTGCCTCCCCCCAATTCCACCTGTGCCTGTGTGTCCCCCCCACCCGCCCCCAGTCTTGTGTTTTAAGCCTGATTCCATCAAGGTGAACAACACCACCAGGACGGAGCTGTCCCCGGAAGGTGAGAGGTAGGGCAAAGGGCTAAGTGGCTCCAAGAGGCCATGACCCCTCCCACATGGGACATCTGTCCACTGAAATTCCCTAGGGAGGATGGGGAGACCTTTTGGGGAGGCAAGTGATATGGACCCGGCAGTGCTGCCTGCCTGGCCCTTGTTAGTAGCTTCCACCTGAGGACCACCAGAGAAGGTGAGGAGAGGGTGAGGGGCCTGCCCTTTCCTCATCTAATCCCAAGGTCTACCCCGCGACACCCCACCCTCGGAAATGTAGTCCTTCTCATCCATTTTCAGAGTCATTTCATAGCCTGGCCCCAGAGTAGAGTGGATGAAGTCTTTGCCTCTGCAACCCCCTTCCTATCCCCCAGCCATCTGTCGCAACGCTGCTGCCGTGGGCTACGAGGATTTCTACTTCCCCTTGCTGAAGGAGAACAAACTCCGCTGTGTCACCAAATGCACGGCGGGCGTGGACGGCGCCATCAACTGTCGTCAGGGCCAGTGCGTTCTGCAGAGTAGAGGTCCTTATTGCCGGTGAGGCCCCGCCCACAGCCAGCTGAGCCAATCACCCGACCCCGCTCAGCCGGCGCCGCCAGAGGCCCCGCCCCCTGGCCCCCGGGTCACCCACCTGCTAGTACCTGCGTGGTCCAGGGGCACGAGCGGACCAAGCCCAGGAGGTGGTGAGGGCGTGTGACCTGTGACACGCTCCCCGCAGCTGCTTCTCCACGGACACGCACTGGTTCTCGGGCCCGCGCTGCGAGGTGGCCATCTCCTGGAAGGCGCTTGTCGGAGGCCTGGCGGGGACCGCGGCGCTGCTGCTGCTGCTGCTGCTGGGGGCGCTGAGCGTCTTCGTCGCGCGCTCGTGGAGGAAGCGCGGCCAGGGCGGAGGCCTGTGAGTGCGCTGGAGGTGGAGGGCTGAGGGCCGCAAAGGGGTCCCAGACAGGGCGGCCCTGCCCTGACGATGCGGCGCCCGCCTGGCAGGTCCTGGGACGACAGGAAGTGGTTCGAGACCTGTGATGAGAACACCGTGAAGACTTTTTCTAACTCGGGCTTCGAGAATGACAGCACATGTGAGTCCTGTCTCCTGGGGAAGGGAGACAGGGGCTTCCCTGGGTACCATTTTGGCCTGGGCAGGACGGGAGGACCTCTCTTGCCCAAGACAGGCATATACCTCTTGCCCCAGAGTTTGCTTCGTGGCTTCCGCGCCCCCTTCTAAGGCCCAGGTCGTGCACAGGCCGTCCCCGCAGGGCAGGCGCAGGGGCACAGGAGCCCCCTTGGCCCTGCCTTCCTGATGTTTCCTTCCCTCCTCTTTGCTCCCCACCTCTTCCCTCTCCCTGCGCCCCCCCTCCCCGTTCTCTTTTCTCTCTATTTAAAGATGAAAACTTCCATGTGGCCTTGGAGAACGTGGACACTAATATGATGGTGAGGGGGCAAGGTGGGGTGGCGGTAAGGAGTGCTTCCAGGTCCAGCTCCCGATGCCCCCATTCTCAGGCCAGGGGCCGGGCAGGGACAAGGAGGTGTTGACCTTCTAGCCGGCCTCTGTTGGGTGGCTTCCTCTTCTCACTGCCTGTCTCACAACTTCTGTGGCAGCTGCACTTCGACAAACCTAAGGTGACCTTGACCTCACTGTGAGCCCCACACTGCCTTCTCCATGCTGCCGCGGACAGTGCAAGGAACCATCTGCACTGCCTCTGAAGAGATGGCTGTGGACTCCTGCGGCTCAGTCTCCTGGTTTCCTTGGGCAGCATCAGACTTCCTTCTGACCCCATCCCTCTCCCAACTTGTGTGAAACCCACCTGGAGACCCAGTTCAAATCCAGGCTCTTCCACTCTGGGACCTTGGGCAAGTCAGTCACTTCTCAGAACCTCGGTTTTGTCACCTGTAAAATGAGTGTGGCCGGGCTTCCCTGGTGGCGCAATGGTTGAGAGTCTGCCTGCCGATGCAGGGGACATGGGTTCGTGCCCCAGTCCGGGAGGATCCCACGTGCCGCGGAGCGGCTGGGCCCGTGAGCCATGGCCGCTGAGCCTGTGCGTCCGGAGCCTGTGCTCCGCAACAGGAGAGGCCACAACAGTAAGATTTCTGTTTGTGGAGGACGTGATGTTATATGTAGGAAACCCTTGAGATCTCACATATAAAACTTTTAGAAAAAAAAAAAAAAAAAAAGGGGTAAAAAAAAATTTTTTAGGACACAAAAAAAAGTGTCCCCAAAAAAAAAAAAAAAAAAAAGAATGTGGCCCACTCGTCCTAATACCTTGTGGGATTATTGTGCAAACCATATGTGCTTGGTCAGACCTCTGTCCCAATGCACCTTCCTGTGTCGGCCCTCATGCTTATATGGCTTCTCTGAGATCCCCAATCCCCATGTCCTTCCCCAGGGCTCAGGCCTCCATTTCTCCTTTTCCTGGGTGCATCCCTACTGCCGGGTCCTCACCCTGTACATGCAGCCAGCCTGCAGCCCACCCCATCCTCCTACCCTCTCCTTATATAACTCCCCTTGCACCCCTTGCCCCCATCCCTTAAACTTTCTCCCCTCTGAACCCACTTCTTAAGTCACTCCTCCCCCACAGCCCAGCGCCCAGCCCTGCATCTCCCCCAGTTTCCGTACTTTCCCCTTCACCATCCTTGTACCCTCAGCCCTAAATACCCCCCTGCCCCCCACATCTCAGTGCCCCAGTCCTAAATCCTTCCTTCTCTTCTCCCCCCATCCCTAGCTAGGCGCAGATGTCCTCTGCATCTTAGGACCCCCAGGTGGTGCTCCCTAGGCCAGGTCCCCCATTCTGAGGCTCCGTTCTTCCTGTCACCCCCAGGTCCCTGAGGATGAGAGGAAGTGGGGTCCTGAGGTGGGAAAGCTCCTCCAGCACCTCCTCCTCATTCCCCTAACTCTCCCTCCCCTCCCTCAGTGCTTCCCCCCATTCCTACCCCTTTCCCCACCGCTTCCTCCCTTCCTGTCCCTGGTCTCACACCCATCCCTGCAATAACCTCTGAAGACAGAAGCCCCCAACCTCCTTTGCAGGAAGACCTCACTCACCTGGGGACAGGAAGTCTGCAAGTCTCCAGTTCTCCCAACTGAACATAATATAACATTTATTGTAAAAGAAACTGCTCTGCGTCTTTCTCTTTCTCACGCTCTGTTGCTTCCAGTCGGTTGAGGAACAAGGATGTCAGGAGATGTAGGAGGGCCTGGGAGCGCAGGTTTCTCCCAGTGAGGAATGAAGGGTTCCGTGGGCAGCTCTCACGGACCATGACCGTCCTCAAAGGGAATGTCGAGATTGGAGGACCCATTTTCTCAGGGAGTGGGTGGGAGCAGGCGGTGGGAGCCTGTTGGGTTTGTCATCTGTGCCCCTTGACGTTAAGAGCTTATGGCTGAGTCAGGGAGGTGGGTGACTCCAGCTGAGTCAGCTGTCATTGGTGCTGATGGGTAAGCCAGGCATCCCGAAAGCCCTTGAGACTACAAACCTGGGTGTCAGACACACTCAGGCCAGGGCCTGCCATGCCTGGGGCTGGGGCCCTCTTGTTTCCACTTTTGTGGGCAGCAGCAGGCTGTCGGACTGAGCTGAGGGTGGTCAGGGCTGGCAGAACGAGGTTCTCTGGTTGGGGGTGTTGGAACGACCCCCGGGACCTTTGTCCAGGACAGGAGAGAGACTGGCAGTGGCCAGTGTGCGGGTAGAGACCAGGACCATAAAGCCCCAGGTGTGAGTGGGAGTCCCACCCAGAAGAAGCGCTGGTGGTCAGAGGTGGCCTGGGGGGAGGCACTGTCCTTCTTAAGAAGGGGCCAGCTCGAAGTGGGTGATGAGGAAGGAAGGCCTGAAGGGGGGCCTCTTGGGAGTAAGGGCGGAGGGTCCTTCACTTGGCCTGGTCCCTCTGGCAGCTCCTTCTAGGGTTCTGTCAACCCTCCCTCCATAGTCACCGTCTCCCTGGGGTTTCTTGGCCCTCACATCTTGGCAACCATCGCACACTCACGCCTCTGCTGCCTGTCCCTTCCTCCTGCCCTGCCCCTCCCGTGACTCTGGCTTCCGCACTATAGAGACCCCGCAGAGGGAGGTTCAGGTCTCTTAGCGAGGAGGAGGGTTGACCGGCTGCCCTTTCGCCAACTCCCCGTGTCACCCACCAACCCATCGTCTCACCTCCACCCGAGGCCAGGCAGTGTCCTTCCCGAGGCAAAGGTCTCTGGGCTCCTCTATATGGCTGACCCCTCCCTGGGAGGCACTCGCTTCTTAGTTTCTCCTTATGTGGGAAGATCCTACACCCAGGGCCTCACTCTCAGGGAGATGCTGGTGACCTTGATCCTGCCAATGGGTCTCTGGCTCTGGTATGTGGCCCTACACTGCCACATCCATGACATCAGGTGAGTGAGATACAGCCCGAGCTCCCCGGTGGTCCCGGTGTGTGCCGGCCTCAGGCAGGGCTGCAGGTGGCTAGCCTCCCTTCTTCCTTCCCTCCCTTGCTTTTCAGGGGAGGGGGCTGCCCAAGGGCTGGACACCCAGGCCATGACCTCATCCTGCCTTTGGGAGCTAAAGGGGTCACCCTGGAGACCCGCGGGTGAGGATGAAGGGGGCTGGACTGTGCTGTGCTGTTGAGAGTTTGCACCAAGCTCCACCCCGGGGGCTGAGTGGGAGCTGGAATCCACCCCTTCTGTTCTCCGGGCTTCCCCCTGGGAAAACAGGGGGCTCTGCTTGCCCTCATCCTGGGGTCTGCCCCAGCCTAAGGGTCGGCTCTTTCCAGTCACAGAGACACTGCACAGACTGCCAGCCCTGGCCAGGGAGGGCAGGAGTCCACGGGGTGTCCAGCAGCTTCTCTCCTTGCCTGGGGAGAGCCTCAGGGGTGCCAGGGACAGCCCCTCTGGTTAGAAATGGCTGAAGGGCTGAGGGAGAGACAGACTCTGTGGTCCGTGTTAAACCTTTTCACGGCCGTTTGTCTGGGAAGAGACTGCTTACAAGCTGATTCCCATGGGTTCCCTCATGCGGAACAGACTTTCTCATTCCCCCGAGACAGGGAAGTGCCCCTGGGAAGGGGTGGGCAGGGCAGATGCTGAGGAGAGGGATGGTGGGGATGATGATGACAGTGATGAAGGACCCAGAAATCAGCAAGGGCTTGCCTCTGTTTCTCCCGCCATGCCTTAGAGACAGCCACCCACACAAGCAAAGACCCCTGTTGGCAAGGTGCTCATAATTGCATTGAAAAGATCATGCTGAATCCACTAGCACGCCAAGGAGTCAAAAGCATCTATCTTTGATAAATGCACAGAGCCATCAGGAGTGGGGAGGTCAGGCAAGTAGGGCCATTCTGGGGGACTCCAGGTCTGATGATACCCCAAGCCCCCCAGCCCCCTACTCGCAGAAGGCTCTGCTATTTACAAAACCATTTCAGAGCATGTAGCCTGTATGACTCTCATCAGGAAAATTATGAAAGGAAAGGAAGGCAGACAGGAAAGAGAGACTCAGGGTGAGTGACTTACCTGGGACCAGCATGACCCATGATTATATGATAATTAGCATGACCTCACCCGTATGATACTAGGTTTGTGCTGCCCTGACCCCGCACTGGAGGCCCTCAGCCCTCTGCAATACCTCCATCCCACTGCATGCATTCTGGGTCCTCAGGGAGGGGTTCAGAGGTCAGATCAGAGACCGCTGGTGGCATATGTGGTTTTCTTTGTTTCTCATCTGCTCCCTCCTCTTGGTACCCCAGTTCACCAAGAGGACTGATGAAGTCTTGGACAACTGAACAGTGGGGAGAAGGAATGGCAGCCTGAGAAAGTAGAGAAACACTGCAGGGCTGTGCAGGGGAGTCGAGGTGTAGGAATGTCCCAAAGGTGAGGGGCATGTGCTCGGTGGGGAAAGCAGGTTGGTGAGGGAATACCTTTGGGTAACAGGAGCATTAAAACCAGGTGGAGGCTTTTAGACACCAGAGGACCTCCAAGGACAGAGCCGGGGGGTGGGGGTCACCCCTGCCAGGACAGATGCAAAGAGGGACGTTGGGAGCCATCCTGGCATGAGGCCATGGGGGTCCAGCTGGGAACCCAAGTTCCTTGGAAATAGAGAGGAAGGTCCCTCTTGATGATGGGCACCAAGGTAGATGGTTCTAGAACCTGTGTGACTGGGGAGCAGGAGATCCTTTTGGGTGGTTGACAAAGGGCTCCAGGCAGGCCTGTTGAGCTTGGGGTGAGCATGGAATTTCTGGATGGAGCTTTCCTAGAGGCCTGGGACTCAGGAAGGAGGATAAAGATAGGGACACGGTCTAGAATTCTCCATTCTCCATGTGCTGCAAGGGCCGCAAAGACCACACAACACCAAGAATCAACATGAGAATTGGAGTCTGTGTCCTGTTTTGTGTACATGAAGCTCCAAAGTGTTCCTAGGAAGGGTGGGGGAGAGGAGCTGCTCAGGATGGCAGCAGGGAACAGGGACCAAGTGCAAGGGCCTCAAGGGGTCAGAGTTCTGGAGTCTAGAAAGGTGAAAGTGGAAGTGGAAACGTTCAATGTATAAAAGTGTGGTGGGGCTTCCCTGGTGGCGCAGTGGTTGAGAATTTGCCT